TTTTTTTTTTGTATATTTTCTTCATTCCTACTGTATTTTACGCATGACCACTAAATCTTGGGTCTTGAAACGCTTTGAAACGTACGAAATCAACCAATGATTAAAGTGGCCTTTAATACCCCCAGGGGTAATTTTCTCTCAAAATGGCGCTTGCAGCTCAGGTCTACGGCCCCAGCCTTACCTCGTCACTGTTGACGATTTTTTTTTTTGTTTTTTTTTAGATAGGCGGGGGGTGATCTTACCTATCGCTCGATACCACAATAATATCATCGAAATTCGTTTTCCTGCTCAAGAACGAGCTCTTTGCACAGGGGGTAGCTTAAGTGGCCTTTAATACCCGCCGCTACTCTACATGCTTTGTAGTGTGTCGCCGAACAATCCCACAGCAACAACAGCTCGTCACAGTTTTTTTTTGTTTTGTGTTTTTTTTTTTTCTCCCATCATTGGACTCTGCCGTCGCCCCCTCTGGCCCCTATCCTTCACTTCTACTGGCTAGACGACCCAACCGGGGTCACATAGGAGGGGGGGGTTGGACCCCCCTCTGCGGTTCATGCCTGAGGTATTTTTATCGCGGGAAGGGTACCGCAATCCCTTCCCTCGCGACTTACGAAGTCGATCATGGTTTACTAACAAACGAGCTTTGCAGCGCGTCGCTTTCATCCTAGACCAGGATCTTTCTAGCGAGAGAAAAACAATCTCTCTACCGGGACTCGAACCCATGACCTGGCTCTTCGCAAGCTGCGAGGGTACCCACTAGACCACCGGGGCGACCGGGTACAGTGTCAAGGGTTAATTTACTGTATGTAATGGTTTCTGGCATCGTGTCTAGGCCAGCTTGTTCGGGTCGTACTGAAAGACTCCACTCGCGTTCCGCCATTGCTCTATATTCTACCGTTCAGCGATGTCGAAGAGTGGGCGCACAGACCACGTTCATCAACACCACTTTTTGAGCAAATAGCTCACGCGGGTAACCGCACAGCAAGATCGTTTCCTCGTTTCCTTAAAGTACAGGCTCCCGAGGACACTTTTTTTCATTTTTCTTGCCATGTGTCGGTCAGCGTGTTGGTACGCATATCAAACATCACGAGGACACCCCCATTATTAGGTCGAATCTCCATGTTCCTCTCACTTACGAAACACTTAGACAGGCTGCTCTGAGTACGGAAACATGTACTACTGCTGTTGTTGTAGCCTACAGCAGTACACTACTGCTGTTGTAGCCTACAGCAGTACAGCATGTGCGGAAACGAGGTTATCCTACCCATTGCAGTGTGCTTTTTCGCCTGGACATCGTCCCTGTTGCTGGGGTCGTGGTGGGAGAAGACACCACCATCTATTCAATACTCAGCGTTCTTCCTTTGGACAAATTCAGAAATAAGTAAAATATGTTTTAGGATAAAGCAATCCACGCGTGTGGCGAACCAAATGTGCACAAGGAGTCTATGGTTTATGCTCACGAAATAGCGCACAACAGCCGCAACACGCCGTGATACAGGGGGGGGACGGTTGATCTTTTGTACGGTGTTTGAAAATTGTGCGGCCTGTTTCCAGCGGGTTCACCAGGGTACAGGGATTGTGTTGAGACAAGTTGCCACCTTTTCGTCAATACTGCATCATTTGCCAAACCGTAAAAAACTCTCTACTCCCACATGCACATAACATAGATATTCCTCTGTGACCCGTTGCGTACGGTATTGTCTACTTCCCAGGCCAAGCCAGGCACACTCCAGTAGACCTCGGCCGGTTGCTGGAGGAGTTCAAAACGCACGGTCACACCTTCTGCACAGTCGATCAGCCCAACCATGTACCCACGGCAGCAGTACGAGTGTCTTCATCGATTGAGCACACCGGCACCCTCGACAGGTAGGCTGGTCCCAAGAGGTGTTGATCTGTTGCCGGGGTACTCCTTGTCCGGAGACAGGCGGCGGAATTTCTGTGTGCTGCTGAAAATTGAAAGGAAAAAAAAGCGGGCGCGCATCCCCGGCGTCCTCTGCCCCCCCCGCCCCCCCTAGTGATCGGCCTATGGTGATAAAATGTCATAGTCTTTGTGAGGAACCTGGACAACGTTGTCGCAACCCAACGAATTGCTGAGCAGGGCTCTACAAGGTGTCACCTAGGGTTGATCGTCGGGATTTCGGCCCAGGAAATAAAAGGCATCAACCCCGTTTCCGCTTCCAAACTCAAACACAGGTACAACGTCTTTGGTCGGTATCACGCAGGGCTCTCGCCAGACGTTACCGGAGAGTTGCTGCATATGAAGGCACCTGCAGGCTTGCTTGGCGAGGCCGCCTCATGTATCGAGCAGCGAAGCTCGTGGCTTTTTCCCTTTTTGTTTTCACTTCAAATCAGTGCTCCCAGCACTGGTGTCGAATACTCCAACCCGTGGTGACACAGAAGAGCCCCTCTCTACTCTCCCCTCCTGCGGTACTTTGCCTTCGATTTTTAACGCGAGAAGAGTTCAGCACTCTCTTCCCTCTGTGTACAACCGAACTAGCGCTATCCACTCGGGTCGCCCCGGTGGTCTCGTGGGTAGCCTCGCAGCCTGCTAAGAGCCAGGTCATGGGTTCGAGTCCCGGCAGAGAAAGTTTTTTTCTCACTAAATATATCCTGGTCTAGGATGAAAGCGACGCGCTGCAAAGCTCGTTTGTTAGTAAACCATAATCGACTTCGTAAGTCGCGAGGGAAGGGATTGCGGTACCCTTCTCGCGATAAAAATACCTCAGGCATGAACCGCAGGAGGGGGTCCAACCCCCCCCTCCTATGTGACCCCGGTTGGGTCGTCTAGCTAGTAGAAGTGGAGGATAGGGGCCAGAGGGGCAGACGACAGAGTCCAATGATGGGAGAAAAACAAACAAACAAACAACTCGGCCAGGGGCGGAAGCGAGAGAACAACTCACTTTGAAAGAAAAGCTCGCTTACGCCGGGATTCGAACCCCTGACCTTGCATTACCGCGAGAGACGTCAAGCCGTATCGTTCAACAACGACCACACCAAACAGAAAAATCAGGTGGCGCACGACAAAGGAGATGCACGATCGACCCCACACCACGGATAAACGCCGAAGGCAAGCGCGTGCGACTTTAAACCCAAATTCTGTGATACAGTTTTTATCAGTAGAGAGAAACGAAAATCGACTCCCCTGACCGTGGGGGTCACCCACCCCACTTCACGGACTGACGTTGTGGCCATGATACTTGGGATGGTACGGGGCGATCTCATCCCAGACTACTTTGTTGTGCACCTTGACCCCTCCTTCCGACTGTCACACCCCCCCTCACGGTAGCGCGCAGTACAGTGCATGCCCTTCCGGAAACCAGAGTGCACGGCGCGCACGAACGAGACCCTTCCATGCCGGTGAGGCCAACAAGCGGGACCTGGCACCCAGGCGAGTTCATTATCGAAACTTCTCCCACAGCCTTTTACCCCATGAAAATGTTCAAGCTCCCCTAGGTGCAGCTCATCGACAGGTCTTCTATTCTCCCTTTGCTCTAATCTACTCTTGTGTACCTCATGAGCGTCAGATAAACGTGGACCAGTGGTAACCGTGCAGACATTTCTGTGGGCGCGGGAGAAGGTGAGTCAGTACTACAGATGGAAGGACTCGTCCAGGTGGGACTGTCGAAACGATGTCCCGCGGTATAAAGGCCAAAACTTGGTTTGACTACGTCGATGCTCGTCATCGCAACCAAAAGAACCCCAGGAACATCGATTGACTCCGCCGGGAATCTGGTCAAACCTACGCCGTTTAGTCCAACCCGGTCAACGATCCTTGTAACATTCCTTTTCAGTGGCAAATGACTCGTAGGCAACCAAGGCATGCCAAGTGTCCAACACCCCAAAAATACTACATTCATAAAAATAATGGCGCCAAGAAAACCATCCGAATGATGCAACCTACAGGATTCACACTGCTGTTACACTCTGCCCAACCCCGCAGACTAAATTGAGAGCGATTTAGCGCTCCTTGTACCAGCGAGCAGCGCCGCGATATCGGGTCGGTGCCGTTGAACCCAAAAAACAAAAAACAAACACAACACACACAAACCTCGGACAACAAACGAAAAACGTTCTTTCGCGATTCTTGTCCCTCCATATATATTTCCAGTGGTCAGATGGTAAGCGCGGCCGACAGCCCCCACAACCAAACACGCAACACAGACACACGAAGAAGGAGCACACACCACTCACGTTCGAACAGGCACGACACCACACTTACCCCAGCCCCCCTTCAATTCAATCCTCGGGAGAGCGGAGAACTACAGTACACGTTAGGGTCGCTCGACGAAGAGGGTAGGAGGCTGACATCGCCCAACCGCAAGCCGCCCGAGGTGTCAGCCCCGCTCGATAACCCGTCGCGACCGGCGTGAGACACGTCTGGGATCTGCTGAGAAAGGTCGCGCAGCAAAGCGGACAATGACACAGGGTAAGGGAGCAAACACACAGCGAGATGAACCTTGAGCGAGACGGCGCGCGAGTAGCAAATGCGTCACGTGTTTTGGCACAAGTTCTTCGCGCTCAGGCGTGTGGCAGCCTTGTCCGAAAGATGGCCAACAACAGGGGTTTCCGAACGGCCCAGCTTTGGAGCACCGGGCAACAGCCTGGGTCGGGCAGTGCTGGCGAGATCGGCGTTCTCAATGAGTAACTTAAACCGAAACGACGTCCGGCGTTCGGAATACTTCTCGAAAACAGAATCGTACGGTGGCGCCGTCGAACCCACGCGCCCATCCGCGCCAGGAGAACGACACAAAAGGGGACACACTTTCGGCATCACCTTCTAAACTAATGTCGGCAAACGCTAGCGCTTCAAGGTTCAGTTCGTACTGCTGTACGACTCGCTGCAAGAGACTCTCGCTCAGCTTCGTGGGATTGGCATCGGTCATTCGGCACAAAAAAAACAGGCATGCACCGATCGCCCACCTGGCGTTGGAGCTCTCGGTTACTATCGCCGAGGCAGCCACGCAAGGTCCTCAGGCTGCCGGTGAGGAGCTGCAGGCGGTCCCACGCTTCCTCCTCCGCCCGGCTTGCTTCCGCGAGGCATCTCGCTAGGCTTCGGTTGGCCTGTCGGCACAAGAAGAACGCAACAGTTCTTTGTTTACTCCAAATAAAAACTGTTGCGATCTCTCTACCCAGTACTGATCGACCACTTTTTGACGCGGTCGATTCCCGTGGACACAGGCGTAATTACAGCAGTAAAAAATGTATACTCGAATACAATGGACCCCAAGGGTCCGAAAAATAGTGAATATCAGAGACAGATAGTAATCTATGAGTACGAAGCACGGAAATCCCACGCCATTCAAGTGCGCAGAAACACACCACAGCCACCAAACCGAGCAGCTACAATGGTGTTGAGGGCACGACGGCAAAGCGTAGGAAAGAGCAATGGAAGTGGAGGGGGAGGAGTTGGTTGGCAGATGCATGGAAAAGACAGTGGGGGGAAAGAGGCGACCAATAAGTTGAGATAGAGGTGTGCGGGGCAGAGTGCACGACTGCACGACTGCACGGAAAAAGTGGACACACGCACACGAATCAAAATGTAACTCATGGCAGCCGCTGCCCTGAGAAGCCGACCCCCGGGTCAATCAGAAAGCAGCAGACGAAACCGATTCGAACCATACACTGCACAGCCGACAAGTCCTGGAGAACCAACCCCTCACATCCGCGGTAGGCTGGACAATGTTCGCCGACTGTAGCGCTTGCTTGTCGCCGGCCGTCACCTTGTGGAGAGACGCCAAAGACCCGCCAGCGGAAGCGTCACTCCCACGCCTTCGAATCTGCAGCAGCAGCAGCAGCAGCAGCAGCAGCAGCAGCAGCAGCAGCCAGGTGTGTAAAGCGGATTCAAAGGCAACTCGTCAGTGGTCATGTCTTGCTAGGCAGTGGGAGTCGCATATTGGTTAACGTGGGAAACTAGCTTCATCGTCGGTTTCACCAACAACTCGTCAGTTGTCATGTCATGTCGTGCTCAGCAGGGTCGCATACTGGTTCACGTGCGATAATAGCCAGCTAGCTTCGTTGGGAAAAAAAAAAAGGCAGTTCGAGGGCACCAATCTTTCAGGCGAGCTATCTCATGCATTGGGGTTCCGTCGCGGTGGCGGAGCAGCAGTCACGGCAAATCAATGGCACCGAATTCGAGAGTCTGCCAACGGCCTCGAACGGTACGGCGGCGGGATTATCGATTAGTCGTCCGGAGATACGCGGATCAACCCTCAGCAGCACACGGCTCGACAACCCCGTCGAAGCATCTCCACAAAACCGAAAAAAATACCTGACTCCATTGATACAGTCTACGGTGCAGCGCCGAACAGGTTGCTACCTTTTTCCGCACATCTCAAGCCGACGGTTGTTGTTCAACCTCGCGTTTGGAGCCGACGAACGGCAACCCGTTCGATGCAACGGCTACATAACCATTATGGATCCGGAACAAAGAAACACAAAACATATATTAACCCATCGCCGCCCCCCGTCGTGCCCAAGGTAACAGCGGTACAGCGATCAAACCCACCTCCGGAGCGGAGTCAGAAGCCGTGTCGCCGAGGCTCCCTCTACGCTCCCCGGTGGTCAGCAACAGCAGTGGCCGCTCCGATTCGGCCTTGAGCTCGGACATGGGCCCCGGAAATGCCCTGGTGTCTTGGCCATTTGCCAACGCCAATCGCAATTCGACGTTGCACGTCGAACGACGCCAGCGTCAAAACGAAGGCCGAGAACGTAAACATTTGTGAGTGCACTACACAGAGTATCGTAACCCACAGCTACATGAACAAATGCGGAAAGGCGTTGGTTTGGTAGGGTGGGAGGGAGGGGTACACTGGTTCTGGAGGTTGACACTCTTCGCCCGTTGTCTCGTCGACGGCAGGCTCACAGGAATCTCGAAACAGGCAACACACATAAACGCACACGACATATAGATCCCGCATCAAGCGGATGAACAGGACCGTGCCCGCCCCGATCAACAAGCAGCCGTCGTGCCGAGGCAGAAGAACCCCATCGAGTAGCGAACGCAACGGCGGGATTACCTCGCGATCCGTCTTAGCGCTTTCCCCTCGATAGTGTACATCTCGCAGTCCGTTACGCACGTAACCGATTCTCTGCGAACACCACCCCCGTGAAGCGCCGCCATCGCCCCAAAGCACGACCCGGCGCTCAGCGTTCCCACCTGTCGGGATCGCCAAAACAAGAGGCAAAACATGAAACACGCACGCAAGCTCCAACCTGCTGTTCGCGAAACACCGGAAAACATGAAATGAAACACATTCGCAACAAAGTGTCGGAGCGGGCTATAGGCCACCTGGCACACAAGCGCAAGGGCCGCCGGCTACTTCTCCGGGAGTACTCCCGAAAGCACCGGCCGGTCAGTTAGACCCCAATCTACGGATAGCCATCCACACCACCTCAAGATAAAACATTACTGCACCTCCCCGACAACAACGCCACCCCCCGGTCGCATCGAGTGAGGAACCGGCCGATTTTGCTGCTTCTTTCCTTTTCTCGTATTCTCACCTCCACGCCTCGGCGAGTGACCGTCGCCCGCCCGCGCACGACGAAGATGGTCTCATCCGAAACGCCTTCCTCGAGCAAGACGCGCTCCCCAGCCTGCCAGCAAGGGCATACGCCAGCGATAACACCGGTCAAGAGCGAGGTAGAGAGACCACCCACCGCTCGCGTCAGTTGCCTCTTACCTTCTGTGTTGTGTTCTGTGAGGCTCCTGAGCACGCACGGCTACTGCGGCTCTTTTGCACGCACGGCTATTCAGTACCAGGGCTGTTCGAATGTTCGCAGCGAGAGCAACTATCGAACGAGCTGCCGAGGCTACTACCGGGAACAAAAACACCGCTCCCTACCAACATCCTCTTGAAGAGCGTAATCGTACCGCCGTTAGAGTACGCCGGAGAAGTATGGGAAGGAAATGAGAAGATAGTCAAAGAGCTCGAGGCGGCGCAGATGAAAGCAGCCAAAATCACCCTTGGATGTTCCAAGCACACAAGAAACACAGCCGTCACAGCAGAATTGGGGATCCAATCCCTACGATCGGGACGAGACGCGAGGAAGCTGACATGGCAGTATCGCATGTGCGGCATGGGAGAGGTACAAGCTGGTTCAGGGAAATGGACCAAAATGTGTTCAACCGCTCCTGCCAGACGAATTTTGTACATAATGTTGACAAAAGCAGTATCATAGTGACCCCCACGAGCAAAGGAACAAATCATCGTGGCCGGAATTTTGATTTAAGGCTTCGCTGGGAAGATATGGGCTATTACATGCCTCAGCCAATGAGGAGCCTCCAAATATTCGA